AATTATAGCCAACATAGGATCATAAGAGAATGTCAAAACAACAATGCATAAGCACTTTTTTACAATAATTAATTGTTGGAGTGTAACATCTCATATTGAAAGTATGGAGCTAAAACGGAAAGAAGAAAAGCTCAAAATAGACGAAAAGAATTAGTTAAACAAATTAGTTAGTTAGTCGTTATTTCTGTTTTTCTGTTGATAATCAGTTCAGGTTTCTTTCTGTTATTTTTTGGTAAATTTCTGTTGATAATGTATTATAAATACAGCTCGGTCTGATGTACAAAATTCATTGAATAAACTCTAGTAATTCTTGCCATTCTCGCTTCCTTCATTATGTTTATCAACATGGTATTAGAGCATTGAAATTCCGCAATCTAAATCAGTTCGTTTCTCTATTTCTATATTACAGAATTTTGCTCTGGAATTATCGCATTAAATCTCTTTGGAGTTCTTGCATTTTCTTGAACAATATCTTCAAAATGAGTTCAGAAAATTCTCGTCCTAATCCTTCAAACGACTCGTCTAGCCCATTTTACCTGCATCCAAGTGACAATCCCGGTGCTCTTCTAATATCAGAAATCTTTAATGGAGAAAACTATGTTGCATGGAGTTGTTCTATTCTCATTGCACTGACTGTCAAAAATAAGGTACAATTTATAGATGGCTCAATCGTTTCTCCTTCTGCTGATCAACCTGTCAAGTACACAGCATGGTTAAGAGCAAATAATTTAGTTCTCTCATGGTTAATGAATTCCATTTCAAAGGAGATACGCAATAGCCTGCTATTTGTGGCATCTGCGGCTGAATTCTGGAATGAACTCAAAATCGGATATCTGAGAAATGATGGACCAAGAGTCTTCCATCTTGAGAAATCCTTAAGCAGCATCAATCAAGGTGGTCTTTCTGTCACTGAATATTTCAGCACCTTTAAGACTCTTTGGGACGAGTATATTAGTTATAGGCCATTTCCAACATGCACGTGTGGTGTGATGGCAAGATGTTCTTGTGAACTTTTTAAATATCTAAAAGTAAGACATCAATCTGATTATGTGCTCAAGTTCTTGATTGGATTGAATGATTCCTATGCTTCCATCAGAAGTCAATTACTGCTAATGGTTCCATTGCCACGAATGCCAAAGGTTTTTTCTCTATTACTACAAGAGGAAAGCCAGAGACAACTTACAAACATTGATTCACACAATGAAACTCATGCTTTGATGGCAAAACAATTCAGCCAACAGAATTATCAGCCCAGATTTTTCAAAGACAGAGCAAAGAAACCTACAACACAGTGTACTTATTGTGGATATAATGGTCACACAGTGGAAAAATGCTTTCAACTTCATGGTTATCCTCCTGGCTGGAATGGACCAAAAGGAAAAAGGAATATTGCTTCTGCTCATGCTGTCACTACATCTCCAGAAGCTTACAAACAGGAAAGTACTAAGCAACCAAAGATTTATTTTACTCTAGAGGAATTTAACAAAATAATGGCTCTTGCAAATTCATCACAACCAAATTCTTCTTCCCAAAATAATGTCCAACCATTTGTTAATCACGTCACCTCATCTCATTTTACTAGTAAGGTGCAATCTACTCTTAAACCAACTTTATCTTCTTGCAATTCAGTTGTTTCTAATCCAACTTCTAAACTATATTGGATTCTTAACACAGGTGCAACAGATCATATGATCTGTTCACCACACTTATATCATTCTACACCTAAGCAAATTAATGCATCCAAATCTTCCTAACGGTGCCACAGTTCCAGCCACTCACATTGGCACTATATACCTCACAGATTCCATATTTTTGCATAATGTCATGTGTGTTCCCCATTTTTCCTTTAATCTGTTATCTATCTCTAAACTTACTAAACAATCTGACATTTTCCTCACTTTCACTGCTTCTTACTGCCTTTTACAGGACCAATCAATGAAGAAGATGATTGGGATTGCTCTTGAAAAAGAAGGACTTTACCATCTCAACCCAGAATCTACCAAAAACCAGCTCCTGCACATCAATTCAGACTTCTCCTGTACCTTTAGCTCTTTGCTCTGCTCACAGACAACTAGATATATAGCATTGTAGATTAGGCCATGTACCTAATTCTAGACTGCATTCTCTCAAAATAATTGACTCTGCTATCAATTTCAATTGTACAAGTACTTGTGATATATGTTTTTTAGCCAAACAAAGAAGGCTTTCTTTTCCTGTATCAAAAAGCAATTCAAATAAAAGTTTTGATCTAATTCATTGTGACATATGGGGGCCCTTTGGCACAGTTTCTTATGCTGGTTTCAAATACTTTCTAACCATAGTCGATGACTTCACAAGATGTACTTAGGTATATATGCTCAAAGCCAAGTCAGAAGTACAATCTTTAGTCAAGAGTTTCTGTAAAATGGTAGCAAACCAGTTTCATTCCTCTGTCAAAGTCATTCGGTCTAATAATGGACCAGAATTCCTACTCACCAAATTTTACCACAAATATGGCATCCTCCATCAAAGAAGCTGTATAGAAACCCCACAGCAAAATGGTGTTGTGGAGAGAAAACATCAACCCCTGTTAAACACTGCAAGAGCCCTCATGTTTCAAGCTAATCTGCCACTACCTTTTTGGAGTGACTGCATCCTGACCGCAGCACACATAATCAATAGAATCCCCACTCCTCTACTCCAAAATAAAACTCCCTTTGAAAAACTCTTTAGGAAAACACCCAATTTTTCTCACTTAAAGGTGTTTGGCTGTCTTTGTTTTGCATCAAATATCCATTCCACTCTTTCTTTTGAACCTCATACTGATATTGAACCAGATTCACATACATCTCCTTCCTCATCCAACATTAATCCTACACATACTTCGACAAATACTGAAGATCTGCAGCTTAGAAAATCTTCCAGAATTAGACAAAAACCTCAACATCTGCAGGATTATTATTGTGGTAATGTCTCTTCTTCCCTAGAAGCAACTCAATCATCTACTTCAAATGATTGCTCTCCAATAAAAGGTAATTTCTATCCTCTTGATCATTTTCTATCTACAAGTAGACTCTCCACTGACACAAAGCTTTTCTGATCTCTATCACACACTCACCTGAACCCAAAACATACACACAAGCCTCTAAACTTCCTGAATGGCAAGATGCTGTGAAAAGTGACATTCATGCTTTAGAGTTAAATAAAACTTGGGAGCTTGTTACTCTTTCTAAAAATAAAAAGGCTATTGGATGTAAATGGGTATTCAAGGTAAAACACAGGGCTGATGGATCCATAGAAAGGCATAAAGCTAGACTGGTGGTAAAAGGATATACTCAACAAGAAGGTTTGGATTTTTTCGATACCTTCTCTCCTGTTGCAAAAATTACATCCATTCAGTTATTACTTACAGTAGAAGTAGTCAAATAATGGCATCTCCATCAACTAGATGTTAACAATGCGTTCTTACATGGAGATTTACATGAAGAAGTTTACATGGAATTGCCTTCGGGAATGAAGGTCAAAGGGGAACAAAAGGTTTGTCGACTCTTGAAGAGCCTTTATGGCTTAAAACAGGCATCTAGGCAATGGTTTGCCAAGCTATCTACTGCTCTTATTTCTTATGGATTTGTCCAAGGAAATTCTGACTGCTCCTTGTTTGTCAAGAAATCTAAAAGTACATTTATAGCAATATTGGTCTATGTTGATGATGTGTTGTTGGCTAGAGACAACATTATGGAGATTGAGAACTTAAAATCATTTTTGAATCAGAAGTTCACCATTAAGGACATAGGAAAGTTGACATACTTTCTTGGATTGGAAGTTGCACGGTCCAAAAATGGCATCTCCCTATGTCAAAGAAAATATGTACTTGACATACATGTAGACACAAGTTTAACTGGATCCAAGCCTGCTGCCTTCCCTATGGAGTCTAATCTCAAGTTATCAGCTAATGATACTATTCTATATGAAGATCCATCAGGTTACCGAAGGCTCATTGGCAGATTACTCTACCTAACTTTCACTAAGCCTGACTTAGACTATTCTGTGCAAGTGCTCAACCAATTTTTGGTAAAACCAGCTGTTAGTCATCATCAAGCAACCATTCGAGTATTGAGATATCTAAAAGCCACACCAGGATAGGGCCTTTTCTTTCCATCTTCCTCAGACTTACATTTAAAAGGTTTTTCAGATAGTGACTGGGCAGGCTGCGTGGATACTAGAAGAAGTGTCACTGGTTTTGCAATTTTCCTTGACAAATCTTTGATTTCTTGGAAATCAAAGAAGCAGGTTACAATCAGTAGATCGTCTGCAGAAGCGGAATACCGAGCCCTTGCAACTACAACGTGTGAAATTCAAGGGCTTTTGTATGCCTTACAAGACCTGAATATCATTCATTCAAAACCGGCTTTGTTATACATTGACAGTAAATCAGCTATGTCTATTGCTACCAATCCAGTTCAACATGAAAGAACTAAGCACATCCAAATTGATTGTCATCTTATTAGAGAAAAACTACATCAGCATGTCATCAAACTATTTCATGTTCCTTCGCATTTACAACTTGCAGACATTTTTACAAAACCGCTTGGCTCTCTACCTTTTCATCATACTCTTCGCAAGATGAACATCATTAACATCCATGTTCATCTTGAGGGAGGGTGTTGGAGTGTAACATCTCATATTGAAAGTATGGAGCTAAAACGGAAAGAAGAAAAGCTCAGAATAGAAGAAAAGAATTAGTTAAACAAGTTAGTTAGTTAGTCGTTATTTCTGTTTTTCTGTTGATAATCAGTTCAGGTTTCTTTCTATTATTTTCTGGTAAGTTTCTGTTGATAATGTATTATAAATACAGCTTAGTCTGATGTACAAAATTCATTGAATAAACTCTGGTAATTCTTACCATTCTCGCTTCCTTCATTATGTTTATCAACATTAATCATAAAAGTTAAAGAAGTGCTTGTAACTGGCTATGAAAAATTATTTACCTTGTTTTCCCTTCTTTTCCTGAGTAGCATTCCATGACCCTTTATCCCACAGATGAGCTTCATAGCGGTCGGTCCAACAATGCCTGAGGGGATGGGAGGGGGGCGGCGAATGTAGTAGCCTAAGCTTTAGAATACTCGTTCCAATCAAATTTGAGGTTGGCCAAGCAAGAATTTGCATGAAGTGAACAAGAAAATCACTGATGTTCAGATTGAACTGTATATTAAACCTGCTAACTCCGCGGAATCTTGAACTTCTTTTCGTCGTAGTAGTTGCAGCAGTTTGATCAACCCTACTATATATTCTTGTGCTCTTTGTATATGCAGTTTGTTTAGATGGTACTCCACCAGTGTACCATCTCGATAGAGGATCTGAGGCGGGAATCAATAGTTGGTTGGTTCATATTGAGGTTAGTCCACTTGTCTCAAGCTATTGAAGTTTTTTTAAATGCACAATGCTAATATCATATTAAAATATAAATTAGTTATGTTAGCTAATTTTTATTGAGGAGAAAGTAAAATGTGTTTCTCTTCAATGTTCAGGGAGGAGGATGGAGTAATAATATCACAACCTGCCTAGCTCAAAAGAACCTAAAACAAGGTTCCTCCAAGGACATGGCTAAACAGCTTGCTTTCTCTGGGATTTTAAGCAATGAGCCAAAGTTTAACCCTGGTATACTTTAATCTTTTGATTGATTTGGATTTTGATTTATACTTGGACTTTTTTTTATCTTCTTTAATGTAGGGTTTAAATTATATTATCTCATATAAATATCCAGATTTCTATAATTGGAATGGGATCAAGGTTAGCTATTGTGATGGTGCATCATTTACTGTGGATGTAGAAGAAGTGGATCCTGTAAGTCATCACAATATATATGTTCAAAATATTATTTTCCTCATTTTTTTTATTGAGCTTTCTTGAAGTCGATAGGTGATACAATTTAATGACATTTTTGGAAGCTACAGTACTGGTTTTCTGGGTATAATTTTTTCTTGTCAAAATCAATTTGGCCACCAAACTTTACTTCAGAGGAGCAAGGATTTTTCTTGCTGTCATGGAGGAGCTACTGGAGAAAGGAATGAAGAACGCTGAAAATGTACGTTTTTTTTCTTGTGGATATTCCTCCATTTTTCACTGAATCAAACATTTGTAACTTGTTGTATTCTTACGCAGGCTATTCTGTCTGGAAGTTCAGCTGGTGGGTTGACATCAATTTTTAGATCTCTTGTTCCCAAGGGCGCTAAAGTAAAGTGCATTTCAGATGCTGGTTATTTCATAAATGTGTAAGCTTTCATACAGGCCTTGTATCTAAACAAGATTTGATGTCCAGAAGATTTGTGTTCGCCTATTTTAAGAAAATCTAACATTTCTTATCATCTTCTCCAGGAAAGATATTTCTGGAGCATTATATATCGAGGATTACTACAACAACGTGGTCATGACACATGTATGAATTTCCTTCTGTATATAATAGTTTGCATGCTTATTGAATAGTAGTTTTATAATATTGTGATTGCATTTTTATCATTGAATTGGATGCAGGGAGCAGCGACGAATTTGCCATCGTTGTGTACATCAAAAGGGAAACCTGGATTGGTAAGAGGAATTTTCTTGACTAGATTGAATGGTTTTGCACCATGACATAAACTCGTCTCCTAATTATAGGACAAAAAATTTTAGTGTTTTTTCCCTCAAAACATTGCACAACAAATCCAGACGCCACTCTTTGTTACAAATTCTGCATATGATTCATGGCAGGTTAGTATGTATCGGATCTCAATAACATGAGCATTTTTATTGTTATATCTGATCTTTTTCAGTTATCTGATTCAGTTATCCTTAATTTTTCAAGAGAAGGAACATTTTGGCTCCTAATATTTCGGATCCAAATCATACTTGGCTCAATTGCAAGAGTAATATTAGCAATTGCTCCCTCAGTCAGTTCCAAAAAATTCAAGGTATGATAGGTTGTTTATCTAAATTTTTTCAACTGGCGTTTTACTTGAAATTGAACTGATGTTGTTTCTATTTAATGTGGTTTCCAGGTTTTAGATTGGCATTTATAAATGCATTGAAAGGAATCGGTGCCTCTACGTCTAGAGGGTACTTCATAAATTCATGCTATGCACATGGCCAAACTGAAGGGGAAACATGGTTTGTGTTAAGTCCAAATTATAATTGGCAATTTCTAAATTTGTAATTGGCAATTTCCATAGTCAAAATCAGGTTATAGTTGAATTGTATTAGGAGTTTATCGAGTTGTAATCAAAAACACAATAGGAGTAATAGAATCCTAATTAAAGTCAAAAGAATTGGGTTGGTAGTATAGTCCTTGAAGGAGTTCAAGATTATCACATATGATCATTGGAATGCATCTAGATGTCCAAAGAGTGTTAAAGAGTCGTACAAATTATGCTCCAAATTCTCATTCGCAACTTGAAATGCATTTTTCACATAGAAAAAAATTGAATTTGGATAAGGATATACTAAGAATAAATGTAACCCTTTAAGTTAGCTTTCCAACTCATTTTGAATCACCTCAATCGGATACTGGGAGAGAATGTTATGATAGAAATACTGATGATTGCTTAACTATTGCTAGCTTGTCGCTAGCTTGGCACTCGAGCGACAGGTCAACGTTTAGAATTTTGTTTTGCTTCAAACACATGGTTTTTCAATCTCTTTTCATCCCAAGTACTTTTCCCTATATATATCCTACCCTATGAACGTCCAAAGTTGTGTTGAATCAAATTTGTTTCATAGAGATCAATTCTTTGATGATCCAAAACATTCTTTGATTCCAAGATTCAACCACCATATTATTTGAGCCATAATTTCATCTAAATTTGATTTGTTGATTTAGCCATACTGTTTCATATTAAACCACTAATCAAAACATACAAGATCTTTTGATCAAATACTAAACTATTTAATCCACCGGAGATAAATCGATACCAGAGATCGAGAGCTGTTGCAGAAGCACAAATTCAAGAAGACTAAGGTGAGTTACCAGGAGTCGAGATCTGGCGTCAGGAGCACGCAGTCCAGGAGGGCTAAGGTATAAACCAAGAGTCTGGATTTGTTTTGAACGAGCTCTAGTAGGATTAAGGGAGACTGCAAGAATTGAGGTTAGGACTTCTACGGGGTAGACGGGTCTAGACTGTACTGTAAGTTTATTTCAATTTATAGTGGATTATTGACTAGCAACGCGCCTAAAGTTTTTACCCAGTTGGGATTTCTCTGTGATCATCTTTGGTGTTCTTTACTGCTTTAATTATTGATTGTGCTATTCAAACTTATGATAAATTGATTTGTTTGATCTAATCATTTAGAAACAATTAAAAAGTGACATGTTGCTTTTAATTGTGTAATTCCGCACGTGACTCTAAATAATTTAAAACTTTCAGTTCGGGACCCACTCTCCTGTCTTAAACAACAAGCTTAATGTTTATTAACAATTTCATGATTACATTTTTTTAATGGTGTTTTCATATTTTCCCTTTGTGTAAAAATGAATTAACAAAATAAACTTTTTTATGATCGAAGGCAATTTCAGCATATTGACTGTGGTTCATTGCACTGTTATTTTCTATTTTCTTCTTTCTCATTCTGAGTTGTGTGTTGATTAATAATTACACGTTGTTGCTGTGAGCCGACATATGTTGTCCTTAATATGTTCGGCAAATTGTAGTAGAAAAAACTTGATAATATTAGTGTTTGTATTATTTAGACAGTGAAATTAAAACAATTTTCAATACTCAAAAGATGGGATCCCTTTAGTGTTTAGATATAATTTGTCATATGAGGTATATCTTTGACTATTTTTCATTAGTTGGGATCATTTTGAATCTAATCTACCACTATCTCAACAAACAGTAGTTGTCCAGATGTCTAACCTCTAACACGAATTCACACTACGAGAACAAATTGAAACTTCTATAGTACGAACAGAACACGACCACCAGTTGATTTTTTGAGTGAATTATGTTTAGGATTACGTCAAGTCACAAAAATGCTAAACCATTCTCTAGTGCTAGCAATGAATTATGTCAAGTCTAAAAAACGCTGAATCTAGATTATGTATTTGTAGATTACTGCAAAATATAACTCTAATAGGACCAAAGTCAACAAGCCCAATTAATTCAATTTAACCCACAATTGTTAAACCAATCCAACAACTACACCTAGTACATTGATCCAACAATCTCAAAGACAATGTCCAACGTCACTTCTAAATTTGAAGTTGTCGAATTTTGTATGCGATCCATTAGATTATTATTCACGATGGAAAATGTCGTGATACTATTAACCTGATCAAATTAAGATAATTAAAACGTCTTTTAACTTATAATTAAGCTATCTCGATTAATTAATTCAAAGTTGTAAAAAAATCTTGTCCAAACTAATTTAGTGCCTTTGACTTGATCTCGGGAAGGGGAATAAGGTGGAACTCGCAGAATTAGTCGAAACCGTCGGGAAAGCCCAAATTTAGGTTGTAGACGATAGAATCTTGACCCGAGCCTTACGTATCAAGAACCTAAGGTATATTAAACATTAGACTCGTTGATATATAGAAACAAGAACCTCGATTTGCGAACGGCACAAAGGGTGCCTAATCCTTTGATCAATTCTAAGATTTTGAACGCCACAAATATTGAAAATATTTGATAAGTTCGAAATTTCAATCAAGAACCAATGGAGAGGGAAACCTCAATTATGATATTAATCACCAAAATAATATATGAGAACTATTTATAACAAACTATAAAAACCCTAATCTGCACGAAATTGATGCTAAAAGATTACATAAAACATCCATCTAAATTAAATCTCTAATGAAATAAGGAAACTCACGAAAAAAGAAACCCGTATCTTTCGTGCCTTGTGATCACGTAGGGGATAACCAACCTGCAACAAGTTTTATCACCGCACCACCTGGATCAAATGGAAAACTTTTCCCTTCCTCACATAGGATCAATGCATGGCACTCATCAACTTTGTAGATATGAATGTATTGCAGCACGAACTCAATCGATCGTATTTTTTACGGTATGAACTCCCAAGTATAGATATCAACCTGTAAGAAAGAATTAAGCAAAGCAAGGTTGAAACTGTTAGCTTCCCCAAAAACAAAATATTGTTCCTCATACTCATGAGGTATCGCCTCCACCACATCATGCTTAACAATGATACCTGTCTGATGCTTTTCTTCACTTTCCACAATATTTTCAACATTTTGCTCAATGTTCTCCCCTGTTTCCTCACTCTCTTGCTGAACCATTTCTACAATTTTTCATTCTCCTGTTGAACTATTTCTACAATTTTTTTACTAGACTGCACATGCACCTCTTCTTTTACTTGTTCACTCTCCCCAATATCAACGACATTTTTCAATTCACCATCCTCCATCTCAACTTTCCTACCTCTAGGCTCCCTTGCAATTCAACCCCAATGTTCTCTTTCGGTGTGGTCATCTCCCTCTCTTACTTTTTCTGTTCTGCTTCACCTCTCACCTTCCATTGATCTGCTAAGGATTGTAGCTAGAGTGATGTTTTCCCTTTCCTGAAGAAACCTATACCTATTCCTTCCCATATCATAAAGAGCATTCCTCTCATGCCTCCAAGGTCTCCCAAACAAGATATGAAAAGATTTTAATGGCACTACATCACACCAAACTTCATCATTATATCACCGAATGGTGAAATTCAATAGAACCTGCTTGGTCACATCTATCTTCCCACACTCCTTCAACCAAGTCATCCTATAAGGTCTAGGGTGTTGCTGTAAACGTAACCTCAAATTTTCAACCATCGTGATACTAGCCAAGTTTGATATGTACTCCTTAGTAATAGCCAAACTGCATAGCGTACTACCCACAAAACATCGAGTTTGGAAAATATGCCCCCAATCACCATCCATCCTTTACGTAGTTTTTTTTTTTTTTGGGAAAGAAAAACTTAAAAAAAATTAAGAAAATGATATGGATGATTCAAGATGTGAAAAACACACGAAAATCAAATCGGGATAAAAGATTTAAAAACCTGAATCTAGAGCACAAGCTTTAATACCAAATGACGAGATCTCGGGAAGGGGAATCGCGTGGAGCCGGCGGAATTTGTCGAAAACGTCGGAAAAGCCCAAATTTAGGTTGTAGACGATAGAATCTTGACCCCAGCCTCACGAATCAAGAACATAAGGTATATTAAACCTTAGATCCATTGATATGCGAAAACAAAAACCTCGATTTGCGAACACCACAAAGGGTGCCTAATCTTTTGATAAGTTCGAAAGTTCAATCAAGAACCAATGGAGAGTGAAACCTCAATTATGATATTAATCACCAAAATAATATATGTTTACAATGAGAAATATGAGAACTATTTATAAGAAACTATAAAACCCTAGTCTATACGAAATTGATACTAAAAGATTACATAAGATATCCATCCAAATTAAAACTCTAATGAGATAAGGAAACTCGCGAAAAAGAAAACCCATATCTTTTATGTATTGCATGTTCCAGATCATATCAGCCTTGGTCCACAATAGTTATTAGATCCAAGAAAATGGATCAAAATAATTAGATATTTTTAGAAAAATATGTGCATCTTTTGGCGCATAGACTTGGATTTGGAGGTCGA